TGAGTAAGCATTAAAACAACCCATAGGAGAGTGCATCTGCTAGAGCGCAATAATAGCGTTCTGTCCAATTCAGTTTTGTCTAGGATTGTAGCTTTCGACCTACGGGGTCATCTTCAGAGTTACAATGAATCTCGTTAAAACATAAAAACTTCACCATCAAAACAAAGAGTGCGTGCATAAGTTATGATGTCATAAAAGCGCGCGCAATAATTAATCACCTAGCAATTTTAGGTAACTAAATGGTAGAGTTCTACCACTGTCTCTATTAAATAAAGAAGCATCAAGCATTTCTTCTGGCAATGTGATATGCCTCTTCCCATTTCCTCTGATGCCATCTGGCCTCTTTTCCAAGAACTTCAGTTCTTTGCCAATCGATTGCATGTCCTGTGGCATGCTGAGCTAAAGCTTTAGCTCTGAAGCCTGGAATCTGACTTAATCTATATATACAGTTCGTTGGATCTTACCAATAAGGACAAAGTTGTGAGCAAGATGAAATCATTGTCAATATTCGGAAAAGATCTCAAAACATTGGAATATCCTCCAATGAACGACTCATACTTACTCCAAAAACCTGGTGAAGTAAATGATACCATTATATTATACTTGAAGTGTATGACACGAACTTCTTTCCAAAATTTTAGACGACCTGGACAGCCCATGAACTTACCTTCTTCCGTCTTTCTAGCGGACGAAGCGTATCCAGCTGACAGATGTCTAATTACACAAATACGGGCAGTACAAATGCGTATTTTACACGGCGGAGGCCAAAGGCGGTCTCGGAGGTTTAACCTATATTTATCGAGAAGACGAATCAAGGTAGAACACGTTTTCAAGGACATAAAAACATACAAATCAATCGAAAGCATTTGGAGACACCCTAGATGGTTGATGCCCGTGTGAATCCAGCTTGTGGCTTTTTTGGCTGAAAGACGTATTGAACTTTTTAAACATATATAATTTATATTAGACATTAGCCGAGAGTACATAAAGGTTTAGTTAGGTTTAAACTTGTATTTTGTTAGCTAACAAGCTGGAAAACATGTCAACAGAGTATTGCAAACTATAGCCTCACTTGCAGTTAGCATTTTACTTTACAGTTTCGAGAAACAACAAACTTTCCGTAATAGGCTTTCCGTTGGGCGAACAACGTAAAACGTATTAAACAGAGGCTAGCTGAAAAAATTGTTTTCTTTGCCCTTTTCTGTGTAAAAATAAGCAATTAGATAATTAGATAACTTAACTGCATTGTGTTAACTGCAAATTTTGTAATAAATTTTGAAAATGAACTGGATCAACGAAGCGAAAAGGCACACCCTCATTATCATGCTATTTTACTTTGAACAGTGTTCGTGCAACATTTTCACTACAAAATTCCAGGACTTTTTAAGCATAAACATGCGATTTTCAAGGAGTATTTTAGAAGATATTTTTAGATGTTTGCGGACGTTTCAAGTGCCGATTAAAAGGAGCCACATTTCAATCCAAAAGCTAACAATCAAATGTCAATTTATCAGATTCAAGGAGTTTTCCAGGAGTTTCAGCTTTCAAGCGCCCTTGAAAACGAGTTTTCAATTCCAGGACTTTTCAAGGACTTTAAGGAGTAGCATGAACCCTGTTTGAAACTCATTTGCATGCAAAACATCGTTTATGTGATATCGTTCTAATGCCAATGTTCAGATCATTTTCTTGGATGGTTTCATATGATCTTTTGCTTTTGCACGCCTGAACCCTCTAAGACACAGGAGAGCGCTTCTCAGAATTGCAAATGACACTTTAGCACGTATCCATGACATGGTAATTGCGTAGCTTTCTTTCTTCTTGTTGGATAATACTTCAGCTAGTCTTTTGTGAAAACGTTGGCATTCTTCGGCCGTCCCTACAGTAGAGGTAAAAACCAGTAGTGCCAGTAGTAATCTGCCTCTAAATAACGGATGTTATTATGACGTTGAATAACCAAACATTCATGTTGGCCGATCATCGCATGATCCACCGTGAACCTGCAAGACAATGACTCTTAATTGTAACGGCTGAAAACTGTTTACTTGTTACTACTTAGTTATTGTTATTTCGCGGTCAGCGGTTTTTCGGTAAAACGTAGAGGTTTTCGTTCTGGGGACTCAGCAATTTTTCGCCACGTGCAAGAGTCTACATGTTATTTCGATATTTATCTGTATTTTTAAACCTGTATTTAGTTCCTTTTCAAGTCATAATCGCCCAGTAGTGTAAGTAATCCTGTTATGCCTTTTTTCTGTTTGTATTTGTCGTTTTAGTCA